GAGAGAGAGAGAGAGAGAAAGAGGGCGCAACGCAATACACCGAGATGTAGTGATAATAGTGACAATAAGGGACAGCGTGCATTACTATACTTGCCCCTTCATCATGGAGTCGAACATGGACCCCTACCACCACCACCCTCACACCGCCTCGGCCCCTATATTAGCCACGCGGCGCGGTTTTGGAAGCTGCCTCTTGGCTGAAGGGGGTTGGTGGTGGTGGTGGCCAGAGTCCCCGACACGGGGAAAAAAGAATGCAAGCCACTGTTGCACGTCCATGTTGTCGTATATCATGGGGAGGCGAGGCATATGGGGGCGGCATGGGAAAAAAAAAAGTGCTAGCAGCAAGAGTATGGCGTCTCGTGTACACCCTCGTGACGTGGGCTCCTTCCCTCCCTCCTCTACTCCTCCATGCTCATCTACCTGCCCTCCACGGCATCGCCGCTAACCAAACCGGCTGACCGAGCCCCCCCCCTCCAACTGCCTTTTTGCCTGCCGGGCGCGAGGCACAGTATTGTCTGCTGCATATGGTGCCTTGAATCTCTGAAATCGGCAGGGGAAGGGCCCCTCCTCGTTTGCCCAAGGGGTAGTCGAGGAATCAGGTCGGTCGGTCGGCCGGCTGGCTGGCTGCCCGGGTCTTCCGTCCCCCAGATCGGCATCTGATGCGATGTGACGCGACGGCCATTTCCCTCCCCCAAAACATGCCGGGTCTAGCGCTGGCTGTTTTGTCTTGGGGGAGAAAAGAAAATGTACCCATCCATGGCTGACGGATAGGGACATGTACACCCCCCCAAAGACAGGCTCAGCCGCCTAGTTCTCCCCTTGGGAGCGGTGAGCTGTACGACTCTGGGTTGACAGCAGAGCTAGCTCGGGTGTGCCCTCGGGGGTGTTTTTGTCTTTGCCATGTACTCACTTTTTTTTGGCGGCTCCCCTTCTTTTTTTCCCCTCCTGTCTCTTTCCCATGGGTCACGAGAGCTGTCAAACTACGCAAGCGGCTTACCTCGCGGCGCGTGCGGCGGTGGGTGATAGAAAGAGTGACGGATCTCCTTTCATCTCGCACTGTCTGGAAGGTACATACTAACCTCACACCCATTATATTAGCTTCCGTCGACTAGTCTCTCTTTTTATTTCATTATCCCACCCTTTTTTCATTTGACAGATATGATGGCGCCAAGCGGTAGCGCCATGGACGGCGGCGCGGACAGCGCTTCTAGAGCGAATGCACGTTGCGCAAGTAGCTTGCAGTAGGGCGGCTGGCTGGCTGGCTCGTTGGATCGGCGGGAAAAGAACAGCGGTGAAGGGGGCGTTGAGAAGGCGTCAGATGTCAGACACTGAGGCGGCCGCACCGAATTTGGTTTACCCTTTCCCGGGCCTTGTTTCTGTCCTTGCGGGACTCTGCGGCCTCGACCAAGGTGCCACACGGGAGACGTAGCCCGTGACGTACGTCTCTGACTTGGCTTTTTTCTTTCTCTTCTCAACGTGTAGCGTGTGATTTGGCTTGGTTTGGTTGTCTTCCTCCCCGGCTGGACCGCCCATCTAACTTCTATTCCCGTCACCCCAATCAGAGGATGGAGATGAGAGGGGGGAAGCGTGTGGGAGGATTTCGAGGCTAGGCCGGCCGTGCAGAGCGTAGCGACATGCTTTCTTTGGCATGGCAATTTCCCCCATGGTCTTTCCCACCACTTTGCCATGGTCTAGGGGTGTATGCAATATGCAATGCACCGGTGGCTAGCCCTCTTTCTGCTCACATCGCCAACATGCGTTGTCAACCCCACACGAGTCGGCCGCGCTAAATCTGGCAGGCCAAGCAGGCCGGTGGCGCTTTGGCGGTGTCAGACCGTTGGGGGCTGGCTGGCTTTGGTTATTAGTTGGCTAGCCTCATTATGAGCTGTCCGTCAGCTGGCCTGGGAGTCAGCTCTGGCGGGTATGGAATCGGCCGGTTCGTCGACATGACACTAGCGGGCGGTAGCTAGGGGGGAAGGAAATAGGGCGATGGAACAGGGCGATCGATGGATGATGTGCATACTGCCTGTCAGTCCAAAAGGGGCCGTCGCCTGTGCCAAGGAAGAGCACGTAATCACGTGCTCCTGCCGTGGCTCTTAGCTAAGCCCAACTCCGGTGCTCGGGACAACATCCGTCCGATGGACAAGTCCGAAGGCCCGGCATCAGGCCCGGCCATCATCCTCCGGAGGCAGCAAAATGCCCTGGTGCGACGAGACATGGAAGAAAAAAAAATCAACTCTGGGGATCACTAGGACTCACCTGCTGTTTCGTCGGCGAGCAAAAGTAAAAAAGAGAAACCTGAGCGAACTTGAAGGACGCCAATTTCTGTATTTCTGTATTTGCCCTTTCTGGTCAGCCCATCCCCTTTTTCAAACAAGAGCAATGCCCGGCCGGAACATGAAGCGGCCGGCGGGATCAATGTCGCACCCCCATGTGAACTCGGCCTCGGACTCGGTTCCAGCTCCGGCCACGACTCCCGCATTGGAGCTATTAGCCTGTGGTGCGTCGGACCGCCCCCCTCTCCTTCTCCTGTTTTCTCCCACCCCTCCCTGCGCTAACTAGCCTTCCCCTTTTTGGTCCGGATTAGTCATATGTAGGGACAAGAAGCTGCGGTGCGGCCGCGAAGGCGGGGCCTGCGCCCGCTGCGCCAAGGCCGGCATCGAGTGTGTCTACCCGGAATCGCGGAGAAAGGTGACCGTCAGGCGGAACAACGCTCAGGCGTTGGAGGCCCGTCTAGGTAAGTATTTCCCTCTCCCTCACGTGAAAAGATACCTATCTAGACAGAAGGTGGGCTTACACCTCCTCGTCACCTCCCGGACAGCCCAAGTTGAGGGTATGCTCAGGGACACGGCCAAGTCCAAGCGCCCGGCAGAGACGAGAGCAAAACCCGACGCATCCGGGGATAACACCAGGGATATCCAGCAAGATGAGATACCCAGCCAAGCCTTTGACGACCTCGCAGATGACGGCTTCTTCCCGCAGCAGCCGGAGTCTGATATGGGGCTCGGCCTTGATGATTTTCCCGGCCATGGAGGACCCTCGGGCTTCGGCAGCGACCTGGCCGCTGACGACAACATGTTTGACGCGCAGCTGATGGGCCAGGGAATGTTCGAGTCGACACCGCCCTTTGAGATGATTGAGGATCTGTAAGTGGACGACGCTTGCGTTGTTCGGAAGCAAGCACACACACACACACACACACACACCCGGCGGCTAATCATTGTACCTCCTCAAGACACAACTGGTACTTCTTCAACCAGCAGGACATCGTGCCCATGCTGCACCAGGCGCGCTACCTCCAGGCCTTCCACTCGGCGCCCCATATGCGGCCGCCCATGTGCCTGCAGTACGCCCTGTGGGCCGTCGCCGCCAACGGGCACCCCCGGTACCAGAGCTACTGCGACGTCTTTTACCGGAGGGCGCGTCAGTATCTCGAGGCCGACGAGCTCAGGGTGGGTCGTGTCATCATCATCATCATCTCCCATCTACCCTCTTTTTTTTTTCTGTTGTGTTTGTGTGTGCACTAACGGAAAAAGGGGAAATTCCAGGGGGTCGGCGAGCACTTCATCACGGTGCCTCACGCGCAGGCCTGGATATTCGTGGCAACGTACGAGGCGCGATCCCTGATGCTGGCGCGGGCCGCCATGAGCTGCGCGCGCGCCGTCAGGCTCTGCAACCTCATGGGCCTCCACCGGCTGGACGACCCCGAGTACGAGATGCAGATGATGCCGACGATACTGCCGGCCCAGAGCTGGCTCGAGCTTGAGGAGCGGTAAGTGCCTTGGGTGGTGGCCTTGTTGTTGCCCCTGACCATGCTTGATCTCACATACGAAAAAAAAAGGCATGAGGAAGACTGACAGGAAGGGAGCAGCCGGAGGACGTTTTGGGCGGCCTTTTGCGTCAACAGCCACGTGTCCATCTACTCTGGGTGGCCCGGCATCATCGACACAACCACGGTATGTCCCAGGGACTTGGGGGTGCTGCCCCACTTGCCTCTAGAGGTCCTCTCTAACGCCGCCTCCCCCCGCGCAGATCTCCACCGACCTCCCTTGCCCCGAGGACGCGTACGAGCGGGGGCGGGAGGAGCAGAAGATGGGCAAGCTCCCGAGCCTGTTCACCGACGGCAAGATGACCTACTCGCCGCTGTGCAGCGCCGTGGGCGTCTGCCACATCTTCAACCTGATCCTGGCGCACGTGAACCGGGCGCGGGCCGGCGACGGCGGCGGCGACCTCGAGCACGGCGCCTTCTGGCGGCGGCACCGCGAGATCGACAACCTGCTACTGGGCGGCTTCATGTCGCTGCCCGCGTGCCGGTCGCGGCCCTGCGCCGGCGCCAGCAACCACCCGCACCACCGGCGCCGGCCGGGCCACCTGGACTGGCAGCTGGGCGGGCCCATGCACGTTCGCCTCAACCTGCACGCCTCCGTCATCTGCCTGCACATGGCCGCCATCGACCGCGCCGAGGCCCACGGGCTGGCCGCCGACGTCGGGCACGCCAGCC